ATTAAGTTTCATCAGAAAATTAAAATAGGAAAACCGTGAAATTTTTACAGGTTGACACAAGTAAAATTATTATTTTTAAATATTATAATACCTGAACAATGATATATATATATATATATATATATATATATATATATATATATATATTAGGACATTTTTTTATGTTTATACATTCTTTTTTATAGATACAAATATTTAAGTAAATGCTCTGTTTATAATAAACTGTATTAACAACATTTACCGGTCTGAATGTACGTGAGAAAATCATAGAAAATTGTAGATTAAAAACAGTAAAATCGTCTTTACTAACGCAACGCTTCTCTGTGGCCCAATCGATAAAAGGTACTCGGACTATATGACGGTTTATAGGATACAGGTTCGATTCCTGTTGGAGGACGCAAATTTTCTGTGACAATTTCTTGGACGTTCAGGCTGGTAAATGTTGTTAATACTCTTTATTATAAACAGACCGTTTAATTTAATATTTGTAAGCATGAAAATGTCTTAAAGTAATTGTCGTACTTTGTCAGTTTCATGATATATAGAGAAATCATTAAATATGACAGACAAATAATTTTATTTTTTTATTAAGTTTTCCGTTTAGTGGGTATAAAGAAGTGTAAAAATTGTCCATATTGTCCATTGTCCCAAGGGGTTTCGGCCACTTCTTTCACCATATATACCGGGTGTAACAGCAACATTGTCCAAAGCGTGTAACAGCATAATTATCTATCCCACAAAATGTTAAATATCTAAAAGAAAAAAAAAAGAAAAACATGGAACAAAATGACTTTCTTTTTCCCAGGTTTTCAAATAAGATGTTTAGCCATCTTGACAGCATTTGCCATGAGAATCACTGAAAAGCCCTTTGAGTTATTCAGCTAAAAAAAGGACAGGTTAAAATTGTTTTGTTTCAGACACACTGTCTTCCCAAATGAGCAATGTTGAGAGGAAAAATTTCATCCAAGCCTTCACTAATGGTACCAGCATTCAACTTCTGGCTTCCATCTTCAAAGTCCATTCAAGAACCATCAAGAGAACGGTGAATAAGTTTAAAAATGAGGGAATAGTTGAAAGGAATCCTGGATCAGGAGGTCACAACAGGAAGAGGGATCATCTTTTCAACATAGGTCAATTAGAAAAGATACACGGCACGTGAGAGAGTAGTATCAGCTATGATAGTCTTAAGAGCAGTGAAAAAACACTTGAATATGAAATCTTACGTGAAACTAGTGTGGTACGTTGTGACTCCAGACGGCCAAAATGTAACTATTAACAGAAAAGAAATCAGCCAGATATGTGTCATGCGTGATACACGCTTAGGCAATCATGTAGCTTTCGATACATGACTGACGAGGCAGTAGACCAATTGCCATGTAAGACTGTAGAACCCGGAGAATCCTACTATTTACCCATGGCTGAGGGAGAAAAAATCGATCTATACCTTTCCCAAGAATATTAGCACATAAGTGAATATAATGATTTCTACTGGAATTCGAACTCGGCTCTAAAATTCCTCAGCCCGAGCCGCTATCCCCTACTCCACCGCGGGTCTGTAACTAATATTAAAATAGTCTACAGTGCCCACGATAAGAAATGATTATATATTCTCTCAGGTATCATTATACACATAAAACCAAACGAATTAATTAGACTATCTTTCACCACAGGGTATATCAATCTAAAATAAAATGGAATACTTCTAGAAATCTCCTCTCGCAGACGTTGGCTTTCCCAAACACCATAGATTGGGACTCAAGGTTGGACATTGGGTATCTTAAGACGGACGGAAATGCAGGAACGAGTATGGGGAAGGGGATTAATAATGCAGTTCCGACCAACCATAGGGAGCTCGAACGATGATAATAATAGATCGAAAATAACTATAAAATACACTATTTACTTTGTTCAGACTATCGTCCTCATCTTTGTTGTGATATTATCACAACGTTTCGGCCGTTGTACATCTTCAGGAATCATATTTAACAGTGCAAAAAAAACATGAAATGATAACAGCAAAAATTGTAATATGAGCACTGGTAAAAAATCGTTGCTGAAGACATTAGATTTATAAGTGCCAGAAATTCATACGCACATGTCCTCAAAAACACAAGGCACGGTGGATAAAGGCGTTAGTTAGATCCAGTGACAGGAGGCAAAGCGTGTGAGTTCAATACCTTCTTAAGGCAGTAGAGAACTTTCAGAGGGAAATTAGCAGGAGATAACTGATAACTGACATCCATCAGACATGGCACGTGGAACTAGAACAGTCTACCCCAGTGAGCGAAATAAAGGGTTCAGTTCGACATTCCAACCACCTGAAGAAGGCCAGAGCGTACAATGGCCGAAACGTTGTGATAAATATGGCAACAAAGATGAGGACAATAGTACGAACAATGTAAATACTGTACATAATACCTCATCTCAGAAATATAAGAAACTATAAAATATATTACATCGTCCTTTGGTGCTCTGAAACTCGGTGAACCAGTTGTATACATGGCATCACGTTTACCATAGACGATGTTTTCAATTTGAAATGTCGTGTTCTTAAAAATGCCATGATGAAGCCTATTAAAAGGTTATCTATTAACGGCATTAAAGTTCTTGATAATAACAAGAGATGTCTCGACTAGTTTTTCCTTTATCTAGATGTACCACTACATATTCGAACCCTTCAAAAATATAATTAACAAATTATATAAAAACTATAGGATCGGACACATAATATACACAGATCGTCTATTTATTGATATCCCACAGTGTTAGTATGTGAAACCAGGTCGATTTAATACCGGGTGCTGTACATACCGGGCAAGGGCGAGTATGCCCCAGACCCCACAAGCAGTGACACGCCTGTCGACATTCTTTAGTACAAAATGGATATTCTGCCGCAGTTTTGGAATCACTTGGAATAGGCACCACACTTAAATTCAAGAAGAAGAAGAAACAAATACTTCACTTTGTTCCCGGCCTGTTGATCAGAAAGCTTACATTCTATTTATACCAACCACACCACAACGGCAAAATGTAACAGATGACTGGTTTAATGCGCGCTGTTCATACGCGTACATACGGGAGAAGGAGGCAAATATTGCCAGACGGCGATGGCATTACTCCATCACTATAAGCTTTAACGCAAAGATAAGTGGGTGCAAGTTAGGAATCTCTGGGATCGGGTAATCCTCATCATAGGACCTTGAACTGCCTGAACGTCAGATGGTGAAGAACAGATGCCGAACCAGTATTCGATAGAACGTCACTGTAGAGACAAGGGGATTATTTGAGCATTCTGTTCATGGAGATTAATAGAAAACCAGTTTAAATATTTTATTTCTCTGGCAAAATGTGCTTTTATATGCCAATGAGAGTTATTTTTGCGTGTTGGATTAGTTAAGTTGTTGGTGTTAATTGGACAGGTAATAACCATCTTAAGGATTCAGTTGCAGCTGACATGGAAGGAAACATTAATGTAAAATGTAAAGTTAAACATGACTATAAAAATATATTTCATTTATTCTTTTGTCAGATTGACACCTTGTTTAAAACGCGAAACGATTGATGTGAAATGTACAAAAGTCATGAAACGTTAACTACAGTATCAGATAAACAGACCATCTAGCTTCAGTCACCTTTATGTTTACTCTTGTTGGGCTAGGTCCCCTCGTTGATCAGCTGAATAAATTTGATTTCTTTAGCGATGGTTGTTCTAATAAACAACTTTTTTTTTCTATTCTTTGTTATTTTTTAAAGCACTTCGACCCAAGCAAGGCGGGATGCCACTAACACACAGGTGGGTTACAGAGAGTTGAAGCAAGATTAAAGAGGCGAGATAGAGGAAAAGATGAAGAGAAGGATAGGGAATATATCAAGGCATCTAGAGATGTCGATTGACAATACATTTGAATAGTTGGAGATTATAGCTATCAGGGATACAAGAAATAGGAAGAGAATTCCACAGGTGAGAGGTGCGAGACATGAAGCTATTGGAGTAGAAGAGACGGCTACATTTCGACAGTGAAAGAGTGGGACCGTGATGCCAGCCTAATTCATGCAGTCTGGTAACTAGTGAAAGTAGCTCGTCGGAGCAGTTACCGTGAAAGTAGCTCGTCGGAGCAGTTACCGTAAAAGTATTTGTAGAAAAGACAGAGGGAAGCGACGGTACGTCTCTGATAGAGCGACTGTAGACGAGATGCCAGATCAGGGTCAATCACATTGCATATCCGTCTCTAAAAATCGTTTTGCTTCGATTTAGAGGCTTAACATATTACATCTACGGCAAATCAGCAGCAACGACAGATCCTAGGACATAACTTTTCACCTTCAAATCCGGAGGCGCAATTATTTCATCTTCAGCCAGTCGTATCAGTATGCCCCGAGACATAGAGCCTTTAATGTAACAAAAGAATACGAGAAGTGAGTAAACATCAATTGTAAGAAGGCAATTTATGTTTCTCAGCAGGAGAGAAAGGTCAAAAATGCAAACTATAAATTCGAGATGCCAAAATTCAGAAGTTAAACACCTGGGAGGTTAGAAAATGTGGCGCTAAAAACTGAAGGCTCATGGGAATAGCAAACGTTGCCTTCCGCAAGCTAAACAAAGTACTAAGAAACTGGAAAAAATTGTTAGAATCAACAAAAAAAACGGTGAAGATTTTCGGGCTTCCTATATGGCAGCGAATGCCTGTCAATTTCCACAGAGATGAAGAGGAGAGATGAGGCAACAGAGATCTGGTTCAACAGAAGCATGCTGGCAATTCCATGAATGGACCATATGAGTAACTAGAGTTTTAAGGAATATGGCAACAAATAGGAAAATTGTATTTAGAATCAGAGACAAAATAACTGTGACATATAAAAAGGTTTGGAACGTTTGACACTTGCAAATGATATCGAAGGTAACTTGCTTAATCATCTTGTATAAACGGAGGGCAGAACACAACGGAGAAAGGACAGTAAAAAGACAATCATTGCTATGAGTTTAAAAAAGGGTTAGGGAATTATAGAAAGCCATGATTGCTCACTTCCATAAGTGACCAGATAGATAGATAGATAGATAATGAATGAATAGACGGAGATAGATAGATAGATAGATAGATAGATAGATAGATAGATAGATGAATATGAACAGACAGAGATAGATAGATATATATATAGATAGATAGATATGATAAAAAAGAAGAGGAAGAAGAGGAAGGAGAAGAAGAGGAAGAAGAAGAGGCCGAAGGAGAAGAAGGGGAATAATAATAATAATAATAATAATAATAATAATAATAATAATAATAACTTAAGTAATAGTTGATAGTTGTTTTATTTTGCACTTATAAGCAAAGAATGTTCAGTACTTGTGAAAACAGTTCGAATTTAGAATCGGTAATACGAAACTTACGTTCGCGGTGTTGTCAATATTTTTACCAACTTGAATACTGGTGCATGATACATGTTCAAGTGATATAGAAATGTCATAGAATTAAACATTCAGTTCAGAGAGTAAAAAAAATATCTCTGGTCGCAAATCATGACCCTTTTTTTTTCATAACCGCTTGAATCCATTGTTTGAGAAAAAATATTCCTTTCACTTCCAAACCAGTTATCTAACAAAAAAAAAAAGCGAAATATAATGAAGTCTTTCCTCAAAATACAAGCGAAAAAAAAAAAGCAGACATGAAAGCATGATTGATTTAGCGGTAGAAAAAAATGTTCGATATTAATTTCTTTTTTAACAATACTCTCACGAACGATTTGGCGAAAAATGGCAGAGAAAAGCAAAAATAACATTGAATGAGTCAGTAAGCCATAAACAAAATGAAACGCCTCTGTTTGAATTATGTAAACAAAAGCCACAAACAATAAATAATAAGTGTTCCAAACCCGAAAAGTTGCGACATTGCAAAAATTATTTTTAAAAGACGAAATCTACCACGAAGTGCAAATGGCAATGTCAGAAAGAAAATTAATCGTAAACACTGAAATTTATGCAAAAAATGGCAGACCGAATATCATCAAACCAAATTCTTCTTTTTTAATCGCAACGAAAAGAAAAATGCATCAGTTGAGATTTATTTTAAAGTCTCGTTTGACACAAGATCATTCAAGTTGAGTACATAATGCGGTTTATTTTATTTTACGGCATATCAACACATCAATGGGTTATTTAATGCCGACAAGGTTTTGTTATATTCAGTGCTAATAGGAATATATACTTGAACAACACAGTGGGTAAAGAAGTAAATGTTTATTTTAAAATAAGTACAAAAAGAAAATACGTAAGAGTTATGCACACGGTCGTCGCAAGTCAATCCAGTAGTGAGTGCTGCTATTGGAAGATCATTAAGTCTCGCGTCAATCTGAGTTGAACTCAAAAGATCTCAGTTAGACTATGTGATCCAGATAATTATAGGCAGTTACTACTCAAGAGGGTGATAGGTTATTCCATTACATCACCTTCCCGAGCTGAAATTTTCTTCTAGAAAATTTATCTATCTAATAATTTTTTTTCTTTCGGGTCTGGACTTAACCGAATTGTGGGCTTTCTTTTCTTTGTACTCTTTCAAGGCGAATAACATCTCACTCCTACGGGCAAAGCTGGTGTAGGTTTTCTTTTCTTTGTACTCATTCAAGGCGAATAAAATCTGGCTCCTAGGGGCAAAGCTGGTGTAGGTTTTCTTTTCTTTGTAGTCTTTCAAGGCGAATAACATCTCACTCCTACGGGCAAAGCTGGTGTAGGTTTTCTTTCTTTGTACTTTTTCAAGGCGAATAACATCTCACTCCTACGTGCAAAGCTGGTGTAGGTTTTCTATCTTTGTACTCTTTCAGGGCGAATAATATCTCACTCCTACGGGCAAAGCTGGCGTAGGTTTTCTTTTCTTTGTACTCATTCAAGGCGAATAACATCTCGCTCCTACAGGAAAAGCTGGTGTAGGTTTTCTTTTCTTTGTAGTCTTTCAAGGCGAATAACATCTCACTCCTACGGGCAAAGCTGGTGTAGGTTTTCTTTCTTTGTACTTTTTCAAGGCGAATAACATCTCACTCCTACGTGCAAAGCTGGTGTAGGTTTTCTATCTTTGTACTCTTTCAGGGCGAATAACATCTCACTCCTACGGGCAAAGCTGGTGTAGGTTTTTTTTCTTTGTACTCATTCAAGGCGAATAAAATCTGGCTCCTAGGGGCAAAGCTGGTAGGTTTTTTTTCTTTGTAGTTTCAAGGCGAATAACATCTCACCCTACGGGCAAAGCTGGTGTAGGTTTTCTTTCTGTACTTTTCAAGGCGAATAACATCTCACCCTACGTGCAAAGCTGGTGTAGGTTTTCTATCTTTGTACTCTTTCAGGGCGAATAATATCTCACTCCTACGGGCAAAGCTGGCGTAGGTTTTCTTTTCTTTGTACTCTTTCAAGGCGAATAACATCTCGCTCCTACAGGAAAAGCTGGTGTAGGTTTTCTTTCCTTTGTACTCTTTCAAGGCGAATAACATCTCGCTCCTACGGGCAAAGCTGGTGTAGGTAATCTTTTCTTTGTACTCTTTCAAGGCGAATAACATCTCAATCCTACGGGCAAAGCTCGTGTAGTTTTTCTTTTCTTTGTACTCTTTCAAGGCGAATAACATCTCGCTCCTACGGGCAAAGCTGGGGTAGGTTTTCTTTTCTTTGTACTCTTTCAAGGCGAATAACATCTCACACCTACGGGCAAAGCTGGTGTAGGTTTTCTTTCTTTGTAATCTTTCAAGGCGAATAAAATCTCACTCCTACGGGCAAAGCTGGTGTAGGTTTTCTTTTCTTTGTACTCTTTCAAGGCGAATAACATCTCGCTCCTATGGGTAAATCTGGTGTAGGTTTTCGTATCTCTGTACTCTTTCAAGGCGAAAAAAATTTCACTCCTACGGGCAAAGCTGGTGTGGGTTGGATTTGTTTGTACTCTTTCAAGGCGAATAATATCTCATTCCAACGGACAAAGCTGGTGTAGGTGTACTTTTGTTTGTACTCTTTCAAGGCAAATAACATCTCACTCCTACGGGCAAAGCTGGTGTAGGATTTCTTTTCTTTGTAACTCTTTTCTAGGGGAATAACATCTCACTCCTACGGGCAAAGCTGGTGTAGGTTTTCTTTTGTACTTTTCAAGGCGAATAACATCTCACCCTCCTGGCAAAGCTGGTGTTGGTTTTTGACTTTTTCTTTTGTACTCTTTCAAGGCGAATAACATCTCACCCTACGGGCAAACTGGTGGTAGGTTTTTTTTTTTTGTTCTCTTTCAATGCGAATAATATCTCACTACTACGGGCAAAAGTTGGTGTAGATTTTTTTTCTTTGTACTCTTCAAGGCGAATAACATCCTCCTCCTACGGACAAAGCTGGTGTAGGTTTTCTTTTGTTGTACTCTTCAAGGCGAATAACATCTCACTTACGGTCAAAGCTGGTGTAGGTTTTTTTCTTTGTACTCTTTCAAGGCGAATATCATCTCTAAGGGCAAAGCTGGTATAGGTTTTCTTTTCATTTCATGACCAAGGCGAATAACATCTCAATTCTACGGGCAAAGCTGGTGTTGAATTTCTTTCTTTGTACTTTTTTTTGTTGAATAACATCTGCCCTTGTACGGCAAAGCTGGTGTTGGTTTTTTTTTTCTTTGACCAATTAAATATAAACCCGAAAGTTGGTTTAGCTTTTTTCCATGACCAATTAAATAACATCTCCCCTACCATGACAAAGCTGGTTTTTGTTTTGACCAATTACTTTGTACTTTCTGACAAGGAATAACATCTTTAATTTCTTTCCATACGGGCAAGCTGGTGTAGGTTTTCCATTTCTTGTACTCTTTCAAGGCGAATAACATCTTTGTAATTCTTTCCATGAATAATGAAAGCTGGTGTAGGTTTTTTGCTTCTTGTACTCTTTCCATGACCAATGAATAACATTTTGTATCTTCCATGGGCAAATAAATGGTGTTTTTTAATTTCTCCATGACCAATGAAAATATAAACTTTTGGTAAGGCGAATGACCAATGAAATATAAATTCTTTTGTTTTCTTTTCCATACGGGCATTTTTGTAAAGCCATGGAAATATAGGTTATTTTTTGTAATTTTCCATTTTAACCCTGATTTTGTACTCTTCCATGACCAATGCGAATAACCCTGATTTTTGTACTCAATGACAATGAAATAAAACCTGGTTTTGTAGATTTGACCAATGAAATATAACCTTTTTTGTACTCTTTCCATGACCAATTAAATATAACCCTGATTTTTGTGTCACTGAAATATAACCTGATTTTGTACCCTGACCAATGAAATAAACCCCAGATTTTTGTATTCTTTCCATGACCAATTAAATGAACCATGATTTTGTACCCCATGACCAATAAATTAAGCCTGTTGTACCATGAGACCAATTTAACCCTGATTTTGTAATTTTCCATGACCAATAAATATAACCCTGATTTTGTAAATGACTAATGAAATATAACCCTGATTTTTGTAATCTTTCCATGACCAATTAACATAACCCCTGATTTTTGTACTCTTCCATGACCAATTAAATATAACCTGGTTTTTGTACCCTTGACCAATTATAACCCTGATTTTTCTCATTCCAATACCAATTAAATATAACCCTGTTTTTTGTACTCTTTCCATGACCAATTAAATATAACCATGATTTTTGTATACTTTCCATGAACAATTAAATATAACCCTGATTTTTGTACTCTTTTCCATGACCAAAGAAATATAACCCTACTCTTTCCAACCAATGAAATATAACCCTGATTTTGTACTTTCCATGACCAATGAAATATAACCTGATTTTTGTACTCTTTCCATGACCAATGAAATATAACCTTGATTTTTGTGCTCCAATGAAATATAACCTGATTTGGTGTACTCTTTCCATGAAATGAAATATAACCCTGATTTTTGTAACTTTCATGACCAATGAAATATAACCCTGATTTTTGTACTCTTTCCATGACCAATGAAATATAACCCTGATTTTGTACTCTTTCCATGACCAATGAAATATAACCCTGATTTTTGTATTCTTTCCATGACCAATGAAATATAACCCTGATTTTTATACTCTTTCCATGACCAATGAAATATAAACCCTGATTTTGCAATCTTTCCATGACCAATTTTTATAACCCTGATTTTTGTACTCTTTCCATGACCAATGAATATAACCCTGATTTTTGTACTCTTTCCATGACAATGAAATATAACCCTGATTTTGTACTCTTTCCATGACCAATTAAATATAACCCTTGATTTTTGTACTCTTCCATGACCAATGAAATATAACCCTGATTTTTGTATTCTTTCACGACCAATGAAATATAACCCTGATTTTTGTACTCTTTCCATGACCAATGAAATATAACCCTGATTTTTGCCTTCCCGCGACCAATGAAATATAACCCTGATTTTTGTATCTTTCCATGACCAATGAAATATAACCCCCTGTTTTTGTACTCTTTTCCATTTATAAACCTGATTTTTGTACTCTTTCCAATAGAAATATAACCCTGATTTTTGTACTTTCTTTCCATGACCAATGAAATATAACCCTGATTTTTGTACTCTTTCCATGACCAATGAAATATAACCCTGATTTTGTACTCTTTTCCATGACCAATGAAATATAACCCTGATTTTGTACTCTTTCCATGACCAATTAAATATAACCGATTTGTGTACTCTTTCCATGACCAATGAAATATAACCTTTTTTTTATACTCTTTCCATGACCAATTAAATATAACCTTGATTTTTGTACTCTTTCCATGACCAATTAAATATAACCCTGATTTTTGTACTCTTTCCATGACCAATGAAATATAACCCTGATTTTGTACTCTTTCCATGACCAATGAAATATAACCCTGATTTTGTACTCCATTTAAATAACCATGACCAATGAAATATAACCCTGATTTTTGTACTCTTTCCATGACCAATTAAATATAACCCTGATTTTTGTAATTTTCCATGACCAATTAAATATAACCTGATTTTTGTACTCTTTCCATGACCAATGAAATATAACCCTGATTTTTGTACTCTTTCCATGACCAATTAAATATAACCCTGATTTTTGTACTCTTTCCATGACCAATTAAATATAACCCTGATTTTTGTACTTCTTTCCATGACCAATGAAATATAACCCTGATTTTTGTACTCTTTCCATGACCAATGAAATATAACCCTGATTTTTGTACTCTTTCCATGACCAATGAAATATAACCTGATTTTGTACTCAAATATAACCCTGATTTTTGTACTCTTTCCATGACCAATGAAATATAACCCTGATTTTGTATTCTTTCCATGACCAATTAAATATAACCCTGATTTTGTACTTCTTTCCATGACCAATGAAATATAACCCTGATTTTGTACTCTTTCCATGACCAATGAAATATAACCCTGATTTTTGTATTCTTTCCATGACCAATTAAATATAAAACCTGATTTTTGTACTCTTTCCATGACCAATGAAATATAACCTGATTTTGTACTCTCCATTCCATGACCAATTAAATATAACCCTGATTTTTGTACTCTTTCCATGACCAATTAAAATATAACTCTTTCCCATGACCAATTTGTATTTTGTAATTTTTCCATGACAATGAAATATAACCCTGATTTTTGTACTCTTTCCATGACCAATGAAATATAACCCTGATTTTTTTGTACTCTTTCCATGACCAAATATAAATTTTTTTGTATAAAATATAACCTGATTTTTGTACTCTTTCCATGACCAATGAAATATAACCCTGATTTTTGTACTCTTTCCATGACCAATGAAATATAACCCTGATTTTTGTACTTTTCCATGACCAATGAAATATAACCTTTTTGGAATTCTTCCATGACCAATGAAATATAACCCTGATTTTTGTACTCTTTCCATGACCAATGAAATATATAACCCCTGATTTTTGTACTCTTTCCATGACCAATTAAATATAACCCTGATTTTGTACTCTTCCATGACCAATTAAATATAACCCTGATTTTCCATGTAATCTTTCCATGACCAATTAAATATATGACCAATGAAATTTTTTTGTACTCTTTCCATGAAAATTAAATATACCCTGATTTTTGTTTTTTTCCATGACCAATTATAACCCTGATTTTTGTACTTTCCAATGAAAAATATAACCCTGAAATTTTGTACTTTTTTGTATTCTTTCATGACCAATGAAATATAACCCTTGATTTTTTGTACTCTTCCATGACCAATTAAATATAACCCTGATTTTTGTATTCTTTCCATGACCAATGAAATATAACCCTGATTTTGTGTACTCTTTCCATTCCATTTTTGACAATGAAATATAACCCTGATTTTGTATTTTCCAGACCAATGAAATATAACCCTGATTTGTACTCTTTCCATGACCAATTAAATATAACCTTGATTTTGTACTCTTCCATGACCAATTAAATATAACCTGATTTTTGTACTCTTTTGACCAATGAAATATAACCCTGATTTTTGTATTCTTTCCATGACCAATTAAATATAACCCTGATTTTGTACTCTTTCCATGAACAATTAAATATAACCATGATTTTGTACTCTTCCATGAACAATTAAATATAACCCTGATTTTGTACTTTTTCCATGACCAATGAAATATAACCCTGATTTTTGTATTCTTTCCA